ATATATATATATATATATAAAACTATTTGGAGATAAGTTTGATATTTCTTACACCTCTAGGACTGACCTTGTCTTTTCAGATTTGAATGATGTTATGTCATGTAATTTTAATCTGAATAATAAACTTCATGCCGCCATCAATATAGTCGGATTTACTTTTACATGTGATTTTCTTTTATTTTAATTCTTAAAAATTAAGCAGAACAAAATTACTGCAACGATTCTATTTAACTTGTTAATAACTTTTGGACCCAAACTTATTGTCATTGTAAAACAGGCAAAACATATCGGTTCCGCGTACACAATGTGGGAACTTTTACGAGCCTAAACTTCAGAATCCAGTCCCATAGCCTTCTTCTAGTGGAAACAGAGGGCTCCTACACAGTGCAACAGAACTACACAGACTTCGACATTCATGTAGGCCAGTCCTATTCTTTCCTCATCTCAATGGATCAAGACCCAAGCAACGATTACTACATTGTTGCCAGCTCTCGCTTCATGAATGGATCTCTTTGGAGCAGAGTCACAGGCGTCGCTGTTCTGCATTATTCCTCCTCAAAAAATAAACCCAACGGTTCTCTTCCTGACCCTCCCAATGATCTTTTCTTCAAAGAGTACTCTATGAATCAAGCAAGATCTGTCAGGTTTGTTCTTGAAATCAACCTTGATTACAGTAATTACTCTTGAGCATTATATTGTAGACTCTCATGTGTGCAATCATTTTAACTTTGATTAGGTGGAATTTATCTGCAAGTGCAGCGAGGCCTAATCCTCAAGGCTCATTCAAGATTGACACTATCAATATCAGTGAAACTTATGTGCTGAGAAATGAAGCACCGATTTTTATCAATGGAAAACTCCGAGCTGCAATCAATGGCATCTCTTACAGCTCTCCTGATACACCTTTAAGGCTTGCAGACTACTACACAAATGTTACAGGCGTTTACAAGCTAGATTTCCCTGTGATGCCTCGCCCAGGGGCGCCAAGAATAGCAGCGTCAGTGATCAATTCCACATACAGAGATTTTGTTGAGGTTGTGTTTCAGAATAATGATGATAAACTTCAGACTTATCACATGGATGGATACTCATTTTTTGTTGTCGGGTATGCTTGTATATTGTCTTTAATTATGTGTAGTTTTATTAGTAATATTATTGATTGCTACTGCTGAGAGAATTTGGACTGAATATTTAAGGTTTGCCTATGGAGAATGGAGTAACGCTAGTAGAAATTCTTATAACAAATGGGATGCGGTTGCGCGCAGCACAATACAGGTAGCAATAGTTTTACTTCAAGCCAAGCATTAGATTAAGAATGGTGACAATATAAATAAATCCTTTATTCTGTGTTGATTCTTGGCTGGCCCGAAATTGTATTAGGCTCTGTTCCATGAGAAAATATTACATCCACCTTGTTTGGGTTTAAAGTCTAATAGTGGAGCTTCATGTGTCAAGTGGGTCCCACCGTAATACACTGATATTGGTCAATGCTAAAAGCGATGGGGCTCACTTGATATGTGGTGCCCGATCATTGGAGATGGGGTGTCATGTGTCAAAGTGGGCCCCACCGCAATACACTGATATTGATCAGTGTTAAAAGCGAAGTAGCTCACTTGATATGTAGCGCCTCATCATTGGAGGTGAGACTTCATGTGTCAAGTAAGCCCTACCGCAATACACTGACATTGGACGGTGTTAAAAGCGATGGGGCTTACTTAATATGTGGCGCCCCATTATTGAACTCAGGCTCCATCATGTACTCTTGTTCCATTATAACTTTATTTATTCATAAATAACGGTGTGCCTAAGAACTGAAATTCTTTCAGGTGTACCCAGGAGCATGGACTGCGGTCCTTGTAATGTTAGACAATGTTGGAATTTGGAACCTTCGTGCAGGTTCATTAGACAGGTGGTACCTTGGTCAGGAAACCTATTTAAGGATAGTAAATCCTGAGCCTAATAACAGAACTGAGCTACCTATTCCCAGCAATGTTCTTTACTGTGGCAAAGCTTACTGGCCGAAGTAATTAAGTTTGCTCATCTCATCACTCTTTTTTAAATTATTTTTTTGGTTAAAATTAGTTTATATTGATAGTATTTTTAAATATTTAATAGTATATTTTATTATATTTTCTTTTGCTTAAAAATAATGCAGGAATGGAACTGATCATGTCTCAGGAAGTTCACTTCTGCCTTCTCATCTCTGTTCAGTGGTGGCAATGCTTTCTGTTCTGCTGAGTTGTCTGCTTATTATGTAAAGCTATCTTAGGATTTCATAGCTAGCTGACATTGTTTTTTCTATTTTTTTTAATTAAATTTTAAGAAGTTTAGTGATTCATGTCATACTTTGACAAGCTTATTATGAATTTGAATCTCATCTATTCATTTTTACAGTAAGCATCCATGGGCTGCAGTTGCCTTCGGGTATTTTGTATTTAGTTCCACTCTTTTATGTGAAGAAAACTATTGAAAATGATTTTTTTGGGATATTATATTGGATTCCGCAAGTAATTTTCTTTTAAAAAAAAAAAATTGAAAAATAATAATTAAAAAATTGGTTATATTTATGGATCCAAAACAATGACTTTTTTGATTTGCAAAGAAAATTAAATTAATTAAATTGAGTTAAAATAAACTATTTAACATATGTTGCTGTATTTTTTTTTTTTTTTTTTATATTAAATAGGATAAGATATGGATAGAATAGCCAGGAAGACCAAAACGCTCCGCGCCTTGACTATTTCCATATATGGGTAAAAACCACAGCCACTCTTTACAGACTTAGGTCAAACCTAACACTGACTACCTTTATATAATAGGTGTGGGCTGAACGCAGTCTGTTTTTCCTGTCAAATAAATTACACAGATCTGCATAAGTTTCAGATGGGATTCTGCAAAGTAATTTTCTTTTTTGAAAATGAATTTGCAAAATTATAATTATAAAAACTGATTATATTCATCACTATAGGGATCTAAGACAATATCTTCTTTGGTTCGCAAAGAAAATTAAATTAATTAAATTTAATTAAAATAAACTCTTTAATTAGGTAATATGTTGATATCAATCCATATAATTGGTTGATCTTTTCAGTGACTAATTCCAATAAATGGACTTAATCATGGATTCAAATTGGTTTTAAATACTGTAAAATCATGCTCGGGTTAAACTGATCAAACTAAACTAAGTATTGACTATTTATAATCATTTAATGAGTAATTATCATGCTTATTGAAACCATTAAGTGCTTTTTTTTTCTTTTGGGATATTGAGGGTCACGCCTAGCATTTCATTAATAAGTGGATTATAGAGGTCGCCTAAAAAGACAGCAAAAAAAAGAAAGAAGAAATAAATATTTATAAAAAATTCCAAGAATATTGTATGTCAGAAATACGCCAACACGAATCTCGAGGATACAATGGACTATAAGACAAAAGTACGACCAAGAATGGTCCACCAAAAGAAGATCAAGTTTAGTTGACGAGTTACAGTTCCTATGGAGCAAGACTCAGAGCGGGTCGAACGAAGGTTGTTTCGGTCTAGCTCTCATCCAAAATAACTAGTCGCCTCGCAGAAGTCTCCAAGACTCTTCAGAAAGCCTAAGGTTCTCATCATTAAACACCCATTGAACACTTCAAATGTATCTCATGTCACCAGGGTAGACTACCAATTGAATTAAGGAGATTCAGTCTCTACCCGACAATCTAGTTTCATCCAAGCACACAACCGGACTGAAACAATCGATTGGTTGACTCAAAACCGACTAAGTGAAGCTAGATGACCAAATGACCTCCAGGACTGGTTGGTTGCCCAAACTCAACGGAATCAACCAAACGGGCTTTGGTGACTTGAGGATTACAGATTTCAGTCGGCCGAGTGATAGGGTGGTCGAGCCAAAGTCTCATTTATGTTTTATACCTAAAATATCTTGGGCGAGCGAGTAATTTTTCAATTTACAACTCCTTGCCTATGAATAGGGGGAAATTTACATATTAGAGAGTTAATCAGTCATTCTTCAAAGAGTTTTACTGTGCATTCCCTCTCCCTCTTTTTATTTCTCTCCTATTTACGCTTTATTTCCTGAACGTCAATCACATGGCAGATCTGTATTCAACATCCAAAAAGATGTGGTGAGCATGAATCATGCCACCAATAAGAAAAGGAGCACAACATGGGGAAGAAAACCACCGAGAAGGTGTAGTGAACAAAGAGTGCATCAGGGAATTCATACAACAATAAATCTAGGAGCTAAGAGACAAATGTTGGGCCAAATGTTAGAGATCATTAAAGAAGTAGTAGTGAGAGAAGGGAACCGAACCCACAGAAGGAACCCATTACCAGGAGCTAAGAGACAAACACCCAACGATCGGAGGGCACTATTTCCCGAGGAAATAGTAGAAGATCCCCATTACCGAGATAGTGTTGGGTCTACATTGATGGATAGATAGTGGATCCCATGCACAGAGGCACCTTGCCAACCTGAGAAAACATTCTCTCGATAAATCTCCCAAACCCCCCCCCCCCCCCTCCAAAAGAAAGAGTTTAAGGTTCTGTCACTCGACTTCTATGAAGGTCGGACTAAACCAACTGACTACATTACCTCCTTTGATTCAATTGTTTACATATTGAGAATCACCGATGCTCTAAAGTGACACTTCTTTTTAACCATGTTGAGGGAGTCAGCTCTCAGATGGTTTAATGGATTACCTTCAAGAGTAATCAGCTCCTTTTGTGAAATTCAAGAGGATGTTTGTGGTGAAGTTCACTAGCACTCAGAAGTCGCAAAAGTGTTCACAAGACTTCAGACAAGTCCATCAAAAGAAAAATGAGAGCCTTCACTCATATATAACTCAATTATAAAAGGAGAAGTTGGAAATGTGGGATCTGGAACCCGCGATAGCTTGTGCTACCTTGTCCTAACGGCTGAGAGGAGAACAATTTTGATATGTCCTAGGCCTGCAACAACCAAAAACATTGGTTCAACTGTTGAAATGGCCAATAATCACATCCTAGCCAAAGAATTATGAACATTTGAAGTAAAAACTCCTAGGGGTAAAATGGTAATTATGAAAAATTGAATTTCAAATTAAAATTTAGGCCAAATCAAAGGGTAATTGGGTAATAATTATGATAATTAACTCTCTGAAGTGATTGAAACACAGAAAAGGTAAAAAGGCAGGAACCAATTCACTTCACTTTCTATAAAAGGTAAAATTGTAATTAATTAATTTTTTATGGATTGGAAGATAATCAATATTTTGATGATCCTAATGTGAGGGGCTTGGGTTAGAAAGATGGTAACTCACTAATTCAAACCCTCAATCAATGGTTAAGTGCAATTCAACTTATAACAAAGATTAAACACCATATCATAAAACTTTTATAAAATTACAACTTTACTCCTCAACCTTTAAGAGCTTGGTAGTGAACTAGAGTTAATCTAAAATTACTTAATGAGGCTTAGAACAAAAGCATAAGTAATCATAAACATCGTTGAAACTATGAGCTGAAGTTCAATTGAAAGGAGATCAAAGGTTCTTTAATAACTATGTTTACCCTAATGGTTCTTACCCTTATAATTCATCAACATAACAATGAGTGATTAGTTGCCCTTACTCATTGGTTAATTTACACACCAAAGTTCACTGAGCACAAGTTAACACACCATAACTAAAACTTAACTTAATCAAGGTTGATTAACTCAATGACATGATAAGCTTAGGTGAACTAAAAATGATCTAGAAATTTCTAAAGTGGTTTACAGTTATGCCCCAAACCCCTTTGAAAGACATCTGAACTGATTATTGTTTCTTGCAAAAAATCATTCGCAAAATTTTATAGAGATCCACCAAGATATGATTCAGGACCCATTAATGCACCAATTCCAATAAAGTACTCTACACTACTTATCCTACATGTAAACCTAATGCTCAAGGGTTTCAGTCTTGAATAAGCTATTCAAATCCTTGTGAGCAACCGGGGATATTTTGCCACATATGGATCATCGGGCTAGTGTGAGCTAGAGGTCTTGGTGGCGAGGGCGATGACGACGTCGCTTATGTGTGCTAAATGAGAGGTACTAAGTGAAATTTAGAATAGTATCTCCTACCCCAATGATCCTTCGGGAAAGGGGATAGGACCGATGATACTATTCACTAATCCCTGATATGAGTTGTCGCTAGCTCTCTTAGGTTGTTAGTTCCCTTAGTTTGATTAGAGTGATTAGCTCGTGGACATAGTGCTTTACAAAACATATATAACACTGTAAACCTAACACGAAAAAATCCTTTTGTGACATGATTAGGGGTGTAAACGAACTGAACATGACCGAACAGAGCTTGTGTTCATGTTCGGTTCGTTTGAAATTTAGTTTGTTTTACTTGCTTGCATTTTTTTTTCTTGACGACATGTTATAGGTTTCTTTCCTGCTAGATTCTCTTTGCAATTCTTTTAAAATTCATGTGTTTTATTATACCAAGTTTATGCTACCAACCCATGCAGCTGCAGCAAGGCGTCGAGTACGCATTTGTTGACCTCATTTTTTGTGAGGTCTTTGTTTCCTCTTAGTGCTTAAGATCTATCCATATGACTTCCCCTTTGACTATTCAAGAAGAATATGGATGGAACTCACTTGCATAGAAATTCAAATCACTTCCTAACTCTCTTTAGAACCCTACATGGATGGTCATGAACATCTAGCACTTGGAAGGTTGTGACCAATATGTGAGGATTCAAGGGTGAGTTCCTATAGGACTATTGGGCTTAGGATAACACTGGGTGGCTTGGATTGTACACACACTGTTGGCATCAATTTTTGATGTCATGAGTGTAGAGTGTCCACCTGCATGACTCGGGATAGTTTACGGCCCGTCTGTAACATCCGATAGCTCAGACACCCACCCGAGACATTTTTGGCACGTGTTGAGGGGTATGTAGTCGGGGTTGTTTTGCTTGGCTTTGTCTTTCGTTCAGGTGAAGGCCGGTAGGCATTTCATACATTGGATGGCTTCGGTCGAGTCAACATGTGTTATTTGTCACATCGCGAGCAAAATTAGCTTGAGTTGGCCTGATCGTCACTGAAGTTCTCCAGATGGCCCCGGACGATGAAACGGACCACGCCAACGCATCCGAAACGTCGATTTTACCCCAGAAAGAAACTCATATTGCTGGGGTTCCGTGCATATGCAAAAATGCGCATATTATCATTTTAGGTTCGATTATTGAAAAAGTGATCCAAACGACCCCAGATGATGAAACATATCACACCAGTGCGTCCGAAACTTCGATTTTAGCTAGGGGGAACTTTCATTTCAAAATGATGGCGCGTTTGGGCTAAAAATGCGCGGAGCCGGCGATTATTAAATTTATTATTATTATTATTATTATTATTATTATTATTATTATTATTATTATTATTATTATTATTATTATTATTATTATTATATTATCCCTTATAAAAACTATCGCTTACGCCTCCCCTCCCTCCCAGGCCAAAGATTTTCGAACCCAAGCCGCTTCGTCGCGCCATCACTGCTCGGGTCCATTTCTTCGCGCCTGAATGTTTTCGTCTGCCCCTCCTCGTCAGCAAAGGGAGTCGCCACCGGCGTCCTTATCGCCGAAGCCCCACCCGAGCTCCCCTGTAGGCAACCATCTCCTTTTCTCTCGGCCAGCTACGAGCACAACCCTCCTTTTCTCGCCGGCTCTTCCGGCCTCCTTACACGTCGGCATGGAGTTCTCACCGACCCCGGCTCCTTCCTATGCATAGCTCCGAACGTCGCACCTCCTTTTGGACTTCATGACCGCAACACCTTTCCTCAGCTCTCCTTCCCGCCGACAAAGTCTTCTCCAACTTGCAGACCTCCCGTCGGCATCCTACAGTCGACGTCCACTCCCCGCTCACGCAGAAAGTAGGGCAGAGCTTAATCTTCTCCCCCGTGCATTTTTGTTGCGTGTCACCGGCGAGCCTCGTCGCTCCTCACTTCCTGAGGGTCGAGAACTTCATCGGAGCATTTCACCGTCAAGAGAAAAAAACGGGGCTCATGCGCTACCGTCGCGGTGGTGAGATCCCCTACCTCCTAGCCAGCGTTAGGAATAGTGAAGTCTAGACGTGTGAGTTTGATCGCCCACACGGGGCTCGTGCGCCGGTGTGGACCGGCGCGACGACGTGTCTGCGTGATGGATCATTGGTTTTCTTAGAGCCAACCTTTAGGTTAGGACTTTTTGTGTGTGGCCAAACACCCCCCGTAGAGTCGAGTGTCTCACCTCTTGTTGTGAGTCTTAGCACAAGTTCTGATGGGTCAAAGTTCCTCACTCCCCTTGCTTTGGATTCCCCCGCTTTACTTGGAAAAGTTGGGAGGTCGGAGTTGGAAAAGTCAGAGAAGCTTTGTAGTTGGCTTGCTTTGCAAAATTTAGAGGAGTTCACAAAATAGGAAAAGCTTTGTAGTTATTCTAATTCGCGATGTCATGGAAAGGTTTCCCCTCAGAGATCTAGGGAGAAACTCCCCACATTTCCTCACCAGAGCAAGTGGCGGTGGTGCCGCACATCCAAGGGTCTAAATCTTAGGTTTCCAAGGTGAGGTCGTTAGTACGAGTGTGGCTCGCTATCATATGTGGTATTTGCACCTCATTGTTTGCACGTGCATGTCTTGCATGTTACATATTGTATGTCATAGATCGCATCGGCACTCGCGCTTGCACTTTGCACATTGCATTTACATTTTCACCTTGCACCTTGCATTTGCACGTTGCACTTGCACTTGCACCTTGTATCTCTCATTTACACTTGCACCGACACCACTTGTGCCTCGATTGGTCGTCCCAGACCGGTCTACACTACTTGTGCCTCTATAGGTCATCCCGGACCAGTCGACGCCACTTGTGCCTCGGTCGGTCATCCCAAACCGGTCGACTGATCACTTTGGTTTGACCGGCCACCACGGCCCGGTCGACCAATCACTTGCACCATTGCACGTTATGTGTATACATATGCATGATTTCTTGCATGTTCACCTACCTTTTTGCATATCCTGGTCACTGCCTTCACATCACACCCCACGACCATCTCTTTCGGTCACTGTCGCCTTGGCACACCTTCCTTGGGCCGCTGCCGCCACGACACTCCCATCCCTTTCGGTCACTGCCGCCTTGGAACACCTTCTTCGGGTCGCTGCCTCCATGACACGCTCACCCTTCGGGTCACTGCCGCTATGACACACCCATTTGTTTGGGCAACTACCTTCACGGTATGCCCATCTTTCCCTGAGCCACTGCCCCACGGTACACTCATCACTCTGTCATTTGACTATTTTCACTTGCATTTGCATGTTTGCATAGGTAGCGAGCCAGACTCATTAAGAGAGTGATCATGTGTCGGTCACGATGCCTTAATGAGCATTGCTTGCTGGGTTGATCCCGACGAGCAATGCGAGTTAAGTCATCGACAAGTATGAATGTGATAAAAATCTAATAGATCTAACTTGTGTCACCACTCTTCGTGACACCCTTTAGATCCTTCGAATCTTTAGGATGGGGTCGGTATAGCGACCCAGTCAAAGTCACACTATACCCAGACCTACCCTGCACTTAAATACTAGGTTGACACACTTTTCGTTAGATTGTGTGCTAGGCTAGGATTCAAGGTGCTATGTAGTCTTTTTAATGTCTAGCTATTGTTCTCTGTTGGATTGGTTACCCTAGCCAGACATCTTTCTTTTACATTGTGCTTGTGGTGTAACTACATGTTGCATATGTATGGTAGTGTGTTAGGGCGTTCTTCTGCAAGGAGTCATGCATATTTATTGTACACACACAAGTACCTCTATGGGGGGAGCATCTGATGATTTCTGACCATTTTGCTTACATGTGCTATTAGCTCCTCACTTTTAAGGCATGGCTCATGAAACATTATTTGCAGGTGAGTTTTCCCGCTAACACTTTTTTTCATGTAGGATTGAGTCTTTTCTTTTTCCTATGTACCTTTTAGAGTTTAGGAGAGTCCCGTAGCAAAAATAAGATACGGGCACAAGTTTCGAGATGTTAGCGCGGGAACCACGTGGAGGGAGACTAGGAGGAGATGTTCGTGCCCCGTATCTTAATTTTTCATATTTTATATTGATGTATAGAATTAGGACCAGGCATGTATATGCAGAGTCCGACCATATTTTTCTTTTCTGGGATATATTGCCGACCCAGCAGCACCGGCCTATTTATTATTTTGATTTTACTTGTTTTACTTTTTGCATCATGTTGCATGCCTGCATGTGCATGTGTTTTCCATGTTTCTTTCTGTGGTTTATCTGAGATTTCCCAATGAAACTTAGGCTCATTATGACTTAAATTCATAATTTTCTACAAAATCCTAAATAAAATATTCAAGATAATTAAAATTTAGAATTAAAATATTCAGGATTTAAAAATTACAACATTAACTTTCCTGCATATATTAATAGAGCCTTCACAATACTTAAGAACCACTCTAGATAATCGTGCTTCTTCAACCTGACTGGCCCTACAAACTTTTTTAAGGTGGTTGTCTAGTGCGCATAAGATGTTAGAAGGCTCCCCGACCCAGGCGGGGTGTAAATACTTTTGTTTGGAGTGTTTCCAGCTTTATAGCTTAACCTCCACTTTATTTTCTTTTCTGAGGCATCATTGTCACTTCGGTAGGTATAAGTCCCACCTCTTTGAGCTCCAGCTTTAGTTATAGGATAGAGTTTTCTTACATTAACCTTAGGGCTATTGAGGTTCCTACGGACGATGCAATTCACGAATTGTTGACAGGGGATCTCAGGACGTGTTGGGTCGATTACATTCACGACTAGGTAGACTTAGGGTCTTAGTAGCTGTGTATGATAGGTCTGTGGTACCTCGACCCAATTACATATACCTTTTAGGATCACTCTACCCTCCTTTTGTTGAGCCCTTTTGAGCCCTATCACTCTGACTTCGTTGATATCACCTTGACGGCCCAATGCCGATGAGCTGTCGCTCATTTAGGATACGACGATTTGTCCTCTGCCCTTTGGCTTGGACGTGTTTTGATGTGTTGGGATATCCCCGTTAAGATGATTTAGGTTATTCTGTGGGCCCCGTGTGCCAATGAGCTGCTACCCATTCAGGATGTGAGAGACTCACTCTCTGCCCGATGACTTAGCGTGAGCTTTAAAGCATTGAGACTATTCCCACACGTAATAACCATCCTTTGAGTACTTATTGCCCCAGGTTCACGATAATCCAAGCGAAACTCCTTTTATCGAGAGTATTCTTGGGTACCCCCAAGATGTAATTAACAAAGTCGGATACATCCCCTTGTGAGTGCTCTTGACCCCAGAATAAGCACCTACACCTGAATCTCTGGTTATGAGTAGTTTATGTAGATATTCTTTTGCGGATATTGATTTAAGGTGCTTTCGCCTGATCTTATTTGGGCGAACACTGTTAACATATCCTTGCGAGGGTTACCGCACGTAGACTCTCTACGTTTTGTGTTTTCACTTGTTTGTCGCTTTGTCGTATGTATCTTCTTATTCGGTTCTCCTCTTCGAATCATTGATCTGATTCAGGAGGGAGATTTATTCGAATAGGGGAAGTATATGACGATCGACAAGCTGACGACTCCTTCTAAAATAAAAGTGAGAAAAACAAACGAAAACACACACACTTAAACCCACCAAATTTCTCATACATCTCAAACCCTAAGATCACTTACACTTAACCTACCTCCTTACTCCTTTTGGAAACTCATGTGGATGGACCTGAGCTCTCAGCATTTGGCTAAGATGACTAGGATCAGCATATGGAAAATTCAAAGTGAGTCTCATATGGCTCTTGTAGCTTTAGGGAGACTTCATGGCTTGTTTGCTCACTCTACCCAAAATTTCTTCAAAAATTATCAAAATGTCCCCAAATCCTCAAATTCCTCCAAAATAGCCCGAATACCCAATTTCGTCAAAATTCTCCAAAATTCCCAAAACCCTCAATTTGCATCCAATTGACCAAATCAACCCCAATTTTTCACCCAATTCACTCCTATTACACCCAATTCCAAATCCAAACTCAATTACACCAATTTCGAAAGCCAAATTCAAACTCAAGCCAAACCACCCCAAAATTGACCCTAAATCCAATTTCCGCCAAATTGAACCCATCAACCAAAATCAAACCCAAATTGAAATTCAAGTCCAAGTTTCATCATGACAAGTCCTAAAGTTCACCAAAGCCCAAAATTAACCCTCTCATCTCATGATTAAATTTTAAGAGCCCATCATGATTAAATTTCAAAACCACACCTTACCTAATTTTAAAAGCCCAAGCATCAATGCCTTTGAAAAGCCCAAAGCTCAAGTGACAATTTCATCTTCATCAGCCATCTAATCAAATCAAACCATAGACTATGCCATATATGATTAAATTATCCCACATTTGTATTTATACCAAAACCCCACTAAAATCTCCAAAAATTCATAAATCTTTTTTCATGAAAGTTAGCTAAGCCACATGCAAACCATGGAGACTTCTGCAAGTCATACCTGAGCCACATGAGCCATGGAAAGTCCACCATGCCCTCAGGGGAAAAAGGATGACCTCTTTTCACCTCCCACCAAAGTGACTCGCAAACTTATGTTTAACTCAAATCCCCATGATTGAAACTTGTCCACTGAAGCCCTCATAAAGCCCAATCATCATGACAAGTGAGTACAACTCATTTCCATGAAAAAAACCAAAAGTTATCAAAAAGTAATTCTAATCCATTCCCCAAAGCAAAGTCAAAGCTCACTTGACATGAAATGACAAAATAATAATAATAATAATAATAATAATAAATATAAAAAAAATTAAATAATTAAAGAAATATATATATATATATAGAGAGAGAGAGAGAGAGAGAGAGGGGAACTCTCTAGAAAATATAT